GTAGGTGAAGTGTAGGGCGACCCCTCACGAGATGGAGTGACGACCTGGTAAGACATGCAGGAAGTCGATGGATGAAGGTGGCTCAGGACCGTGCTTTGTGGCATTCCTTGGGGGAGGCCTATGTTCAGCAGAGGACTTATGAAAGGCTGTAATGATGATGATGATGATGATGATGATAAGATAGTATAACATAAACTGTTTATTATTTAAATTTAGGTATTTGCAAATCATGATAAAACGTATGAAAACTACTCATTTATGAAATTATGAATATTCAAGCTAGCTATTTATAGTACACGTGAACTATTGCATTGTGTTTACTACACCGGGATCTGCTAACATACTCGACGCACCGCAAGCGCAGTGCTAGTGGCAGTCTAGGTAATGGGTGTATGTCCCTAAAACCAATACCGCCTCTGACAGCAGGCTTTTCGTCTTTTTACTTCATAAATCAGATTTTTGGTGGTCTTAACTACTACTATTATCAACTGAAATTATTTTGTAATAAGAGGAAAGGATAATTTCAAATAAAAATACGCAGTTATAAATTTATTAGTATTAAAATCAAAAGACTTTCCCAATTTTTTGACAAGTTATGGTCTACTTATGCGTACTTTCTTTTTACCAGGCATTTTTTATATATTAAGAACACCTTATATTTTCACTATTATTTGAGAAATACCATTACAAACAAAAGTAATTATAACTTAGTACTTATACGAAAAACGTATGAAAAGCAAAGTGGATCAGACCGTGTTTTGCGGCAATTTATGGAAGAAACCACGTTTAGTAGTGGACTTGCGATGGGCTGTAATTTTAATGATAATTCGAATAAACGAAGTGCTGCAATATTTTTTTAATAACAATTTGCTTTAAACATCGAAATTCTTAAAATAAAATATATATACTATCAATACCAAAATGCTAGGCTGGAATAAAGTACAAAAAAGGACAACATTTGGTATAAGTTCGATGGGATTAGCCGTAACGCCTTTTTTTGCTTATCGTCATTTTTGAAATAGATGAATGTTTATCACATGTTTAGATAAATAACCTATTGGTTACCATAAGTATATAAATAAATTAATTAAAAATACGTTTTTGAAAAGAAGATTTTATTTCAATGCTTGTAAAAGAAGAAAATAAACTTTAAATTAAATTAAACCTATCAATTTATTAAATTACACAATTTATACGATATTAAAAGCTTGTTGCGAGATTAATCTGTTTTATAAAAATGTTATTTTAATTAGTATTTTTGTTCATCAACACATTAACATTACATTACAACAATTTAAAGCTTATTTTCTTCACTTTCAAGCATTTTAATAAAAGCTTGACGTTAAAAATTGATTTTTTTACTATTAATTTATTTTTTATTTATTACTGATTGCTGGACATGTTTTTAAGTCTGTTAATTGAATTTAATGCGTTATTGTTGGTGTTACGGCCCCCAGCTGCCCCTGCAAATGTCGCCTTGGCTAGGGCCCATAGTAGCCTCCTCGACGGGCAGCCGAGTGTTCGGGCCCGAATGGTCTTATGGACAGTTGACCTATCATACTACACAATAGGGAGAAGGCTAGGTAAGTAAATAGTACGTACCTGGATCCGAAGCTAAGACCGCCCCAAGGCTCGGTCAGGTCGTAGGTAGGTGTAGGTGCGTGTGAGTAGTGTTTTAGTGGTGTGTATATTTATATGACCTGGCCCAGCTGAGTGACCGGCAGCGGCCTGGTCCCATGCTGCCCAGCAATGCTGCATCACTCCAGCAGGCGTCACCAATGGACAATTTCTTTCTTCATGTCACTATTTCAGTCTATCGAATTTATTGTACATTTAACTAACTTCAACGCAACTAATTCCACGTTCATCGTAAAATCAAACACGTGATACCCGACACAAATAACAAACAGTAGTTCAAAATTCCACATTCATAGTTCCGGATTCATGTATCACCATATTACAAATAGGGAGCTAACGCGATCTCTTCACGAGTCACAGAGTTCAGCGTTACAAACAACTACTAAATTCCTTGTACGATATTAACTACTACGCCGCAATAAGAATTCAAAATCAACCTAGCTGACGAGCAAACTAGCTACAGAGTCAACACACAAAAGGCTCTTAACGCGACGGCACAGTTAAACAATGATTTCCAAAACAATCAACCGGGTGACGCCCTCGAAATGGGATGCGCGGTTCAAATTCCAGACCGTATCTCTACTCGGCGCGCGCGCAAGATTCCACGTCACACAAGCAAGTTAAATATTGCGAAATGCACTTGAACACGCAATCACTATATAATTGGCGCAATTACTTTAAAACGAAATTACTTTTATCCGTCAAATAGAACACAAGCCTCTTGTCACGAACTTACAACTTAGACAAACTAAACCGAGGCGGTTTTCACGAAATCACAATTCAGTAGCGAAGTAACGCGCACAAATTCTAAAAATCTAGACCATAACCCAAAAAAAAACCGGTCGCGCGAAACATCTGCAGCGGTCACCAAAATACGCTAAAGGCCCGCGCCGCTGCCTTTCGAGCTACTGTCTCTCTTAGCCCAGCGCCGGAATCACCGGAGCTGGCACACTCCCCCCCCCCCGCCGTCGGCGTTACCTCACCTCGACACCATCGGGTGATTCGCTAAGTCGAAGGCGATTGGCTGCCGTCTCAAATGACCATTTTTGGGCCTAATCAGTTTGTTTTTGGTCCCATCTTAGATCCACTATCATGAATTATTTTATCGCCAGCAGTTGACCCTTACTGATCCCTACAACATTTATTCGAGCACCACCAAGCTATCCCTTATAACATTTGCCGAGTTATAACTCTTTAACCTCTCAGGTCCCGACATTGTGAGAGCCAACTTAGTCAGACATATTATGATCAGACCAAGAAAAATGTCTTTTTAAAATGAAAATATATCTAATGTAGAAGTCAGAAACAGAAACAGGTTTTTTTTTCAATATAGATTATAAATAATACTTATTGAAAGTCACTCTTTTATTTAATTATCACTGGTAAAAATCTCTATCCTGGGAAGAACCAGCAAGAAACCCAGCGGACTTTTTGTATGTTACAAAATTAACAACATAAAACAAATTAGAAATAGCTTGGTAGCGTTCACCTCATTCCCAGGGGTTATCATCATTTATAAATTCGTCAAAGTTATAATAACCGTTTTCAAACAAACTTAGTTGTATATTTTGTGGGATTTTGTTGTAAAAGCGTATACATCGCCCCAAGAATGAATAACTGACTTGGTGGAGTAGTATAACCCAGGGCTTCCCTAACTGTGCGTCATGACGCCCTGGGGCGTTGCGGCTCTATCCCAGGGGCATCGTGATGCGTCTACAGATTGCTGTGTCGATGCAACCTAGTCAAATGAGCGCCGCGCTCATTCTGATTATGTTCTGTCGATCGCGGGTAGCCGGTCGGCGCCGGCGTCGACCTCCCTCGGTGTATTTCCCTTTTCCCCGCGTATACATATCGTTTCAGTCAGTCAAGCTTTTGTTTTAATTACGCACGCGGAGATTCAATATTGACTTTGAATAATTTTATTCAAAGAAATAGAAAACGAAGTCAAGACTCAGGAGAAAACAGTAAAGAAACTTCAGAAAAACGGAAGAAGTATAAAAAATATGACGAGCAATATTTGGATTTCGGATTTACCTACATTACTAAAGGGAATGTAGAACTTCCTCAATGTGTTGTTTGTCATAAAGTGTTGGCACCTGAAAGTATGCTTCCTAATAAACTAAAACGTCATTTGGAAACAACTCACAGTAACTTATAAGGTAAGCCGATAGACTTTTTTGTTAGAAAATTGCGACATCTTTTTGAAAATTACGAAAACTGAAACATTAGTCCACGGCTTTGCTTTCAACAGCATCAGTTCCTACCAAAGCATTGCTTGCCTCCTACAATGTAGCTCACCGTGTTGCCAAATGTAAGAAGCTACATACAATTGCTGAGGAACTGATTTTACCTGCAGCGGTAGATATGGTACGGTGATGATTGGAGAATCGGCGGCTAAAGAAATAAAAAATGTACCTCTTTTAAACAATATGAATAGCCACCGTATCCCTGATATGGCAGAAGATATTAATGAGCATATTGTGGAGAAACTTTCAGGCTTATTTGCCATTCAACTTGATGAAGCGACGGATAGTAATGACGATGCTCAATTGATATGTTACGTGGGGTACATACAAGAAACAAATATGTGTAAGGATTTGTTATTTCGGAGAAAAATATGTGAAAGTGGTTAGGCTACTGATCTATTTGAGATCTTAAACTCATACATGATCGAAAATAATATTAAATGGGAGAACTGTGTGGGTGTGTGTACGGATGGTGCTCGAGCGATGTCTGGACAGTATAGAGGACTACAAGCTCTCAACAAAAACAAGGCTCCAAATGTAAAATAGACACTGTGTCATAACACAGTGTGTCACATAGAGATACTTCAGCTGCAAAGGAAATTACACCTCAATTAAATTTTGTGATGGATATGATTATCAAAATGGTGAACTACATTAAAACACGACCTGTTAAAGCGAGATTTTTCCATAAGCTTTGGGTAGAATTGGGTGCCGAGCATACTTCTTTAATTTATTATTGCAACTCTCGTTGGTTGTCCAAAGGCAACGTACCCGCACGTGTATACGAACTACAAAATGAGTTCTATACTTATCTAGAGACAGAATCACACAGTGATGCGCAAAACTTTTTTAATATAGAGTTTATAATAAAATTGAAATATCTCTGTGACATATTTCAGAAATAATGATCTTAATAAGTCCTTGCAGGGAAACAATAATCACATACTGCAACTGGCAGATAAAATCACTGGGTTTCAGAAGAAGTTGCTCTTATGCAAGAGAAAATTAGAAGAAGATCATGTACATACTGACTGTTTCCTTGCTTTACAATGAACTCTACAAGAAAACTCGATAGAAAGCCTTGATCCCTCTCTAAAACTAATATTTACACAGCAATTGTCATTATTAAGTGAATATTTTGAAAACTATTTTCCTGAAAATCTAGAGCAATATGACTGGGTTAGAAATATTTTTCAGTCGACCTCATCATCAACAATTTCGAGAAAAGAAGAAGAACAGTTAATAGAATTGTCTTGTGACTCCAGCCTTAAGCTCCAATACGACAAAGACAAACTGCTTGAATTTTGGAACTCAGTTTCTCACAAATATCGTGCCATCAGCTATGCAGCATTGAGGGTTCTATTACCATTTGCGACATCGTACTTGTGTGAAACAGGCTTTTCTGCAGTTGCAGTAATAAAGAACAAGTACAGATCGAAAATAAATGCTGAGAAAGAGATGGGAGTGGCAATTTCCAAACTTGAGCCACGTTTTGAGAAGCTATGCTCAGAAAAGCAAGCACATCCTTTTCATTAGTAGCCAGCTAACAAAGTATCTCTTTTCATTTTTGTTCCTGTTTTTTTTTCTTATTATTTAATAAAAATTATACATGTTATTTGCAGATTTTCTGGTATCTTGTTACTATGCTAGAATTACAACTGGTAGGTATTTTTGGCCAGAGGATTTTGGTCGCAAAAAAGTGGCAAATTCCCAAGGGCGTCACAGTAAAAATAAGTTTGGGAAGCCCTGGTATAACCGGTACTGCAAATTTATATTTACAAAATGAATATCACTTATTTTTGTAAAACTACTTTTATTTTTGTGTAAGTTCATTACGTTTTCATAAATGTATTGAGAGGCAAAATTTAATAACGTCATCAACCCCCCCCCCCCCCCCCCTATCAACATGGTAGCGGAATTAAATCAAAGACTACCCAAGGAGGGTACCAGTACTTCTGGAGAATCCCTCGCTGAGCATCCATGACCATGCTACGCCACTCCAGATCGTGGGTGCTCAGGCTGCCCCACGTTATCTGGGGAGGGGGGGGGGGTCTGAATTCCGCTCAAAACAATTACTACGAATCGGGGAAATTGAGAACGACCAAGAACAAGGCGAATAAAAGAACCAAGAACAAGACGAACAAGACCAAGGCGACCCCTGCCACGCTATCCGTGAATTTTTGCAACATCATAATCATATCGAGATCGGCCTTGCTCTTTCTGCCACAGACGCAGGTGTTCTCTCCGACTGATACTTCGTGTCTCTTCTACCCGGGGTACAAATTGGAACACTTCTTTGTGCCTCGAGCTGGAGTTTGCGTATACGTCAGAGAGGACATCTGTTTTCGACGCCTCAGCAGTCTTGAAGTTACGGACCTGTCCATCCTTTGGCTACGCTTAGACAACGACGACCATCCGCACATCTACGGGTGCCTATATAGGTCCCATAGGGGTAATATCGAAACAGACCGACTCATCGACCACGTCCAAATGGCTACAGATTGCTACAACAGGTCCCATCCGCAGAGATCGTGATCCTTGGCGATTTTAACGCCCACTACGCCGAATCGCTTGGTTCACTTTTAACCGATCATGCGGGGAGATCTGACTTTGCCTTGGCATTGCCATATGGTCTGACACAACTGGTTACTTAGCCTACACGGAGATGTAGAGGATCATATACCTTTGTGATTGGACCTTCTGCTGACCTCTTATCCGGACGGATATCAGGTTTCCATCGATGCCCTTCTCGGCTCTTCAAACCATCGATCTGGAGTGTGGTTCCACTCACGCTCCACTCGTGGTTGCGTTCTGCAGGTTGCCACGGTGTTTGGCACTACAGTTTGGCTGATTGGGACGGAATGCGGTCTTTCTTTGCATCCTACCCATGGGGGCAGAATTGCTTCTCGCCGGACGTTACCAGCGTATACAGGGAATGGATCTATTTATTCCATCATCTGTTTTACCCATCGGAGGCAGATCTCGACCTTGGTTAAGTCGATCCTGTAAGACTGCATTACGCAGTAAGCAGGAGTGTTATCAGGCCTGGACTGAGGCTTCGGCGGCTCGGGATGTAAACACCAGCATGTTTAAAAAGAAGTATAACTTCGCTTCCAGATACATCAAAAGAGTTATTGCCAAGGCAAAGTCAGAGCATATAGGCAGAATTGGCGAGAAACTAGTTCACCTTAAATTGGGAACCCGTGCATCCTGGTCTCTTGCCAAGGCTCTCCAAGGGAATTTCCTGCACAGGGAGGACGACTCACTGGCCCATACCGCAACAGAGAAAACCGAACATTTGGGCTCCCTTTTTGCATCCAACTCGACTCTTGATGACGGGGTAACACAATGCCGACTATTCTGCGGTGTGAGTGCTCTATGCCGGATGTGCAGTTCCCACATTGCTCAGTTCGCAAACCAATCCTGTCTCTGGACAATTATAAGTCGAGTGGGCCTGACGGAATCCCCCTCATTGTGCTGTGTACGTATGCTCCTGAGTTGGCACCGCTTCTAACGCGTCTTTTCCGGTACTCCTACTACCTAGTCGTAGTCCGCAAATCATCGCAGGCAGTTTTTGTCCACACGATCCCTATAAAAGGTGACTGCTCAGACCCATCCAACTAATGGCCTATCGCCATCACCTCCTTAATCTCCAAAATAATGGAATCCATTATGAAATCCCAGCTCATGCAGAACCTTGAGGATCACCAGCTGATTAGTGACCACCAGTACGGTTTTCATCGGGGTCGATCAGTTGGTGATCTTCTGGACTACCTGACGCAGAGATGGGCGGATGTAGTAGAGTCAAAGCGGGAGGCATTGGTCGTTAGTTTGGACATTGCGAAGGCCTTCGATCGGGTTTGGCACAAAGCGCATCTTTAGAAGCTCCTTTCCTCTTTCCGAGAAATTTTGCAATTAGATCACCAGTTTCCTTGCAGATCAGATCAGATCAGAACGATATGTTGCAAACTAGTAACATTCATTGCTATGTAGACGACAGCACTGGTGATGCCTTATATACCGGCCGTGCCAATATTTCTCGGGAAAACGTCGATGAGTACCGGGACAAACTTATGTCTGAAGTCGAGTCTTTGCTGGACAAAGTCTCGGATTGGAGGCGACTAAATCTAGTCCAGTTCAATCCCCAATCTGACGTTTAGTGGCGGTCAAGAATATCCACTACCCCATATCCTCCCGTGGGTGTCGTAAAAGGCGACAAAGGGAAACAGGCAGGAGATGGGCAGCAGCATCTTCCTGATAATAGCCAAAATTACAATAAAAAAACTGCGGTTGCCAACCCACTCGCCAAGCGTGGCAACTATGGCAAATACCCCACTATGAATGTAACAAAGAGACGGCCCCCAGTCCCCGGCGGCCCCGCTATTCCTGGCTTCGGTGGCGACCATGGTAACGGCGGGGCAGGGGGTGCTAAGAATCTCCGGTGGAGGTTCGGTTGCCACCTTAGACGACTCGACCTGGCAACGTACAACGCACGCACCCTGAGGACTGACGAGAAGATCGTGGAGCTGGAAGAAGAGATAGACAAGTTGCGCTGGCATATTATAGGATTATCCGAAGTCCGAAGAGAGGGGGAGGACACGGTAATCCTCAAATCCGGCAACTTGCTCTATCACCGGGAGGGCGACCATCTGTCCCAAGGAGGTGTCGGATTTATCATCCACAAGTCTCTCGTTAACAACGTTGTAAAGATCAGGAGTGTGTCGACGAGGGTTGCGTACCTTATACTCAGAATCACCAAACGGTATTCGCTGAAGGTCATACAGGTTTACGCACCAACCTCGGCACACCCCGATGAGGAGGTGGAGGAAATGTATGAGGATATCTGTAGAGCCATGCATTCCTCCAAAACCCAATATACGGTGTTAATGGGAGACTTCAATGCAAAACTAGGCACAAGAGAGAACGGTGAGCTGAAAGTAGGGAAATTTGGAATAAAGCAACGGAACCCAAGGGGCCAGCAGCTGGCCGACTTCATGGAGAAAGAGGGACTATTCATGATGAACTCTTTCTTCCAGAAGCGGCCCCACAGGAAGTGGACCTGGTCGGGCCCCGACGGTTCGACAAAAAATGAGATTGACTTCATTATGACGACCAGACGACCACTGTTCAGTGATGTCTCCGTGATCGCGAGGGTGAAAACTGGTAGCGATCACCGAATTGCTAGAGGCACACTGAACCTAAACGTTAAGTTGGAGAGGTCTCGTCTAATGAAGTCGACGCTCCGTCCCCCTCGTGCTCGGTTCCAAAGTCCCGAAACCGTTCAGCTCGAGTTTCAAAACCGTTTTCAGTGTCTACAAGACTGCAATGAAGTGGACGATATGAATGACAAGCTCGTGGAAACTGTCCATGCGGTCGGAGCTAAGTTCTGCAAGACCCGCCGCAGAAGAACACAAAAACTCTCCGATCACACTCTTAATCTCATGGCTGTTAGACGGGAGATGAAGCTACATTCTTCAACAGACTTGACAGCATACAGGCATCTGAACAGACAGATCTCCAAATGCATGCGGCGGGACTTACGCAACTTCAATACAGCTCGTATTAAAGAAGCGATCGAGCGGAACCAAGGCTCCAAAGTCTTTGCCAGAGATCTGTCTGCCAGAAAGAGCCAACTGTCAAAGCTGAAGACAGAATGTGGCAGCATCGTTTTCGGGACACCTGAGATTTTGAGTGAGATTGAGAGGTTCTATGGGCAGCTGTACACATCATCGTTGGAGCCACACGCAAGTGTGAGTAACGATCCAAGAGCGAGTCTCATCCGACACTATTCCGAAGATATCCCGGACGTCAGTCTGAGCGAGATTAGAATGACTCTCCAGCACCTTAAAAACGGTAAGGCCCCAGGCGAGGATGGAATTACAGCGGAGCTTCTGAAAGCGGGTGGAAGACCGGTACTTGAAGTCCTTCAGAAGCTCTTTAATTCCGTCCTCCATGGTGGCATTACACCGGAGGCGTGGAGCAGAAGTGCGGTGGTCTTGTTCTTCAAGAAAGGTGACAACGCTCTCTTGAAGAACTACAGATCGATTTCCCTTCTGATCCGCGTCTACGTGCTGTTTTCAAGAGTCATTACGAATCGTTTCGCGCGCAGACTTAACGACTTCCAGCCTCCCGAACAAGCCGGTTTCCGAAAGGGCTTTAGCACAATAGACCACACACATACTCTTCGGCAAATTGTACAGAAGTCCGAAGAGTACAATTTGCCACTATGTCTGGCGTATGTGGACTATGAGAAAGCCTTTGATTCCGTCGATATTTGGGCGGTGCTGCAGTCCCTTCAGCGGTGCCAAGTTGACTGTCGGTATATCGAAGTGTTGAAGTGCTTGTACAGTAGGGCTACGATGGCTATCCGAGTACAGAATCAGAGTACGAAACCTATCCAATTGCAGAGAGGTGTAAGACAGGGTGACGTCATATCCCCGAAACTCTTCACCGCTGCATTGGAAGACGTTTTCAAGCTTCTGGACTGGAAAGGATACGGTATCAACATCAATGGCGAGTACATCACTCACCTTCGA